CATTCCTTGGGACTGTGATCAGAGCTTGCAGCAGTGTGTCATGCACCTGTTCTAGGAAGAGACTGGATTATGCTGCACCGGTCTGCTTCTGTATTGAACTAATTAAGTTGTTAAGCAAAGGTTAATGATCAAGCACCTCATGACTTCTATATCTGGAGTAGGGCTTAAAAAAATAAAATCCAATTTGCTCCATAGCTCTTGGTGTGACCATTGTCCAGAGTGGTCCTTTGAAGCCTTGATTTGTGCCACACTGTTTCAGGGAAAAAAGAGGCTCTGTTTGAAAGTGCCTTTTCAAGTGCACTGACATGAAACACTTTTCTTCTGTATTTCCTAAATCCACAGAAGCGTGCATGTGTCTTCATGTTACCTCTGAGGCACTGGCAGGGCTGGGGCTGCCTGGAGAAAGCGTCCTGTTTCTGTGTGAACTGCAAACACTCCAGTTCGACTCGGCCTTATGGGGAAGTTTGTTTAATAGCTATGGCTATAGGCTTGATCCCTGTTCAAACACCATCGCTGTACTTTTGGTGCTCGTTCTGACTGAAGCCTACTTGAGCCAGAGGCAGAGTTCAAGGCTGGAGAGTTTTGTGTTTATAAAAGCCCAACTGACTAACCTGTAGAGCCTGGTTGTGACTTCGCCCCCAGGCAAGTAGGCAGAAGGTTTCATTGCTCCTGTATTGTTCTGTCAAGGAAGTCACAGCTGTGATAAGACTTTATGGCAACTTGTATCATCAAGGAAATTCTGCACTACTCCTTCCTCAGAGGCATCACAGCGATGAGTTGGTGTGATAGAAAAATGCCCAGCAGCAAGAGTCCTCCCAGTGTTCCCTGGGGAGTGCTTGGAGGCTTGGCAGGAGGGTTGCAACACAAAGCTGGGGAGCTCACAAGGTCAGGTGCTGCGGGTGGGGTGGGCTGGGTCAGGCTCTGCCAACAAGTCTGTGCCATGACTCAGCTCATTCCTCCTCCTTGTTGAGCAGATGGAGAAAAGATAGTAAGTATTTAGGCAGGCTGGGATTTGTATACCCAGTGTGGTACAACTCTAGCTGCAGACAAATCTGAGAGGTACTGAAAATGCACAGCTGTAATCTTACAAATGTCTGTAGTGCCTTTAGTTTGAAGTAAAACCTGTCCATCAGCCTCGCTGGGTTTTGGTTTCCTGTGTTGCTGTTTGCACTCCGGAAGGGACCCTGTAGGATGATCAGGGATTCTGATGATGATCAGTCCTGCCAGGGACTAAGGCCAGGACTGGTTTATGAATCCCTCAGCATGATTGATTCTCCTTAATTTCACTGTCAAGCCCAAATCTGGCTGAACATGGTAGAATTTTCACCTGAACAAATGAGAGCTATGAAGTTTAGCCAAGATGGTTTCACAAAGAACAGAGCTGAGATGAAGACTGTGGCTCCCTCAGCATGCTGGTCTGAGCCAGGGGCTGTGCCACAGCATGTGCTGTGGGCTGAGCATGCAGCCTTTTGGACCTCTGGCCCAGCCCAGAGCTGGGAGCTGCTTTCCACATCATCAAAGCTAATAGCAGGAAAAATGGAAAAAAACCCCACCTGAGTCCCCTGGACTCTGCTCCTGCCCCATGGAGAGGGCTTAGTGGTGGGGAGGACTGGCAGCTGTGGAAGGCTGGTGATGGAAGGTGCAGATAAGGCACAGGACCAGGACTCAGGAGCTCAGGTTGTATTTTGCCTTGGTTACTAGCCTGCCTACTTGCCACATCTCAGTTTTCCAGCTATCAAGAGGAGATAATCACCTTGGTCACTTCTTTAAAGCATACAGTCAGTACTGATACTCAAATGGAAATAATAATGTTTTTAGACCCGTAGGCAGCACAAGCAGTATCATCCCCCCTGTGAACGCACATTCAGTGGAGCGCCTACACAAAGAAAACCAGCTTGGATTTTAGTTCAGTAGCACTGGAGATCAGCAAAGCTAATGTTTGTCTGACCCTGGCTCTGACTGCCTGCTAACGATAACTTGGTTTGTCTGTTCCTCAGCACGTTTTGTTCTGAGGAGTATCAGCTCAAAAACCTGCTCTGAAGAGCTCTGCAAACAAACCTCAAGCTGCAGTTCTACACAAAGGGGCAGACTTTGTCCTTCCGGATGTGGCTGTTTGAGCAGTGTTAGGCAGCACCGTCATGGTCAGGCTCACAGAGATTTTTGACCATCTCCATTCTCTTGTGAGTGCTGTACAGAAACACCTGGTTTCTGAGAGCTCCAGCAAACTCCACTCCTGCACTGCAGAGGAGTCTTAATGAGGTTTCAGCTTCATCACAAACCCTAGGTCCAGTAGAAGAGTCATTGAGTAACTCCAACAGACCAAGAGGAGCTGCAGGCACCAGCTGCAGGTAGAGGAGACCTTTCAAGACAGCGCCCTAATTCCTCATTGCTCGTTCTTTGCTCCCACTCTTCATGTTTCCACAATGACCTACATTCCTTGGGTGCATTTGCCTCCTGATTTGCATATTAATCTGAGTAAAATGTCAACATGGCAGTTTTTGCTCTTTCCAGTCATTTGTACTATTGTGGGACCCCCCAAATAAAGAGGTTGTTAACAGGACTTGGCCTGTACACAGCATGGGTATGAACAGTATGGTGTTTGTTTGCTGCAGGGGGAGAACAGGGACAGAGCAGGATGACACAGATCAAAGGCTCTGGATCCTAATGAGGAACATGTATTTCACTAATTTGTAAGACAAAGCAAGTCATTAAGTGCATCGAGCCCTTATACTGTATGTGCAACCCCAAACCAAACCAGATCCATACTGTTAATATTAGCACAACTTTGGTACATCCTCTTCTCTCTCTGTGAAGAAGGAAATAAGGATATGCACAACAAAAATGATGCTGGCAATGTTAAGCTTTCCCTTCCTTTGTAGGACTTCTGCTCTGTGTTTGACCAAGGTAGAGCATTACTCCTTTTCTTCATCTGAGAGCACAATTTCCCAAGAGGAATTCCTTTCAACCTGCCCTGTTTCCTTCCTTCACATCCACCCCCATCACCTTGAGATGCCCCAGACTAGGCAAGAGTTCCCAGCTGAGAAGCACAGCCGGCACTGTGGGACTCACTGCTGACACAAACCAGATAACCTTCATTTCCACTGAATAGAACACAACACCCAAATGCACAAGTCCTTGACATGAGGTCATGGTATCAGGGTGCCAGGTCATCCCCAATGGTCTGTCCTCACCCACCACCTTCTGCATGAGGCAGATGGTCACTCCAGTAAGGTTCACCAATACGGTCACAATGACAAACTGCACTGGTACACCATGAATTTTGTGCTGTATTTTCTTCCACCACTCTCCTGTGGTAGTTTTTCCCTTTGCAGCAGAGCACAACAGTTCCACTCCAGTCTGTGGTCAGCTCTGGGCTGGACCAGCTCACACCTCTCCAAGGAGTCACTGTTCATCCACCTCTGTGTGCAGTTAGAGACTTGTGCCCATCAGTGAGAACTCCTCAGACATCTTATTCTCCTACGACTAGCTCATGCTTCCCACTGTGTCACTGACCTTGTGCTCAGGAGGAAACAGCTGTACCCCAGGAAAGGATCCTCCAGGCACCAGCCATCCCATCAGGAGCTGTCACAGGGCAGGGATCCCTGGAGGAACTGTTTCACAAGTGGTTCCCTTTAGAGGTAGTTTGGGATGTTCTTGTTCTTCCACCATGGGCTGAGCCATTAGAAAGACCTCTGGCTCTTTATGCACATTTTTAGAAGTGTCTCTTACTCTCTAAATCACAACTATCAGTGCAGCCCATATTCTGTCTCTGTAGATTTATTGATGAGATGACTCAGCTTCAAGGTTCATGTGGTAGAGTCTCTCTTTAATGCCTCTCTTCATTTAGCAGTGAAATTCATGTGCTGCTTCTTGAGAGCCTTTTGTGAACCCCAGAGGTTGCATGATTCCTACAGGCTGATTATTCTTTAATGTCTACGTGGGCTCCCTTCAGGCGTAGAAGATTAGTTTTGCAATGCTGCTCTGAGTTTATTTTTAAAAATTTATTCAGATGGTTGCCATGAATTCCCAAAGCAGTGAGAACATCCTTCTACTTATTAAATGCAGCTCTCACAAGCAACAAATTGATCTTTTACAGAGTACATTTGCATTAACCCCTGCAACCCTCTGTTCCTTAATGAGCTCCACACACAAAACTCCCTCAGCATAATGCCCCAGTGAAGAAAATAAGGCTGGGGTTTAAAAACAAAGTAATTAAAATCCTTCCATTTAGTGCCCAAGAGGCTGAAACAGCACCTCCTGATCCAGCAGTGACTCCCACACATTGCAGTGGGTGTTAAATGAAATTCTAAATGAGCCACTATGTCTAAAATCTCTGCCACTGCTGCCAAGACACTGTCAGGTGGGCAGGATGTGCTGCTGCTTCCACTGACCCGTTCTCTACCCCACACCTGTACTGCTGGCTCATCGCTCTACCTCAGGCAATACAAGTCATCTTCTTATCCTGAAATCAGGCCCACCTGCTTCTGCTTAGCAGAACATAAGCTGCTGCAGTTTCTTCTCCCACACTACTTGTGTGTGGGTGGCCAAATGAGTTGCAGAAGATCGTTCCTGGAATCCCACCAGCCTCCTGCCGCTGGCACCCCACGGGAAGATCTGGGCTCTTGCATTCTGCCTGTTTCACCTCTTCCTTCTCCTCACCACTACTGTTTTGCATTCTCCTGGAAGCAGCTGTCATTAATTCATACAGACAGCTCCCCTGAGGGCTCAGATAGCAGTTCTCCATGGTGCTGGGGTCACATTACCTTTTACCTGGCACGTTAAAGTATCAAGCTTGCAGGCTGCAACAGGAGACTCCCAAGGCTGAGCAGCAGTGGGGATTTCCTGCCTCCTCTCCCAGAGGGTCAGGTACCAGGCAGCTTCTTCATTCCTCACATTCCCCCAACTCACACACACCTGACTTTGTTTGCATAAGAAGTAGCTCAGCAGGTCTCAGCACTGCAGAGTTGCTAAGGCCCAGAAGCCCCTGGAAGCCAACAACTTCCCAGAGCTCTGGGCAGAGATATCTCAATGTCACTGCTGAGGAAGTCACAAATGAAGGGCTAGTGAGTAGTGGTATGAACAGTAATTATGTACAAGCACTGCACAGGGTTTCATTTCCATAATTCTTACATTTGCAAGTTTTACTTCCCCAAGAAAACCACCTGGTAATGCTATTTACAGTTCAGGTCTTCCATTTATCTTCTGACAGTAAGGGGTCAGAAAAAACTGCCTGGAGCAGCGTGGCATCACAGTGTTGTAAAATGGAGATACTCTCCATTTATGGCCATCTGGGCTTCTAAACTGCATGACTTGAAGTTGGGAAAAAGCTGCCACATAGGCAATGCTTGTTGGTATGGGGATATAATTAGTGCCCTAAATACCAAACCTTCAGCAAAAGGCAATAGGATTCAATAGCAGGTGCTCAAACCATTTCTTGGTTTCTGTCTGTACTTCCAGAGACTGCAGCTGACCTGAACAGAGAGGGACACTTATCATGTGTAAAACTGGCTGAGCCACAGGATGGTTCAACACCTCCCTCACTGGACAGAGTCATACCAGCTCCACAAACAAGCTCAGTTTGTAAGCTCTGCTTGGAGAATGAATTTTAAGAGAATAATGTAATATGAAGACAAGAACATCAGGCAGGGATGTGGACACCACCTGTCTGATGTGGTACTCTCTCCCAGCAACTAAGAAATAAAGAGAACTGGCCTCTCTAGAGGGAGTTTGTGGCCAGCACGTGTCTCCATGCTGCTGAAAGGAGATGCACCCTCATCTCTAAGAACAGCCTCTTTACCCTGCAGGTAATGACTGATATTGAGCTACCAGGAAGTGTATCACCAGTGCCAGAGGTACCCAGGTCTGCTTCTTGCCGTTCATCTGGGATCAGGCAAATCACTATTTGCACATCAGACTGTGATTTTAAAAGTCCACATCTTAGTGTGTTGGTGTGCCAGGAGTGCTGCACATGGCTGAGGTCCAGTGTGAACCACCACCACTACCCTCATAACATATTGATAACAAATGATTGGTATCAAAATTGAGACTCACCCGTCAATCCAGACCTGCCAGTGCTCCAGAAGAGGGACTTCTGCTTGCCAGCAAAGAGGTTCTGGTGCCATTGCTGTGTTCATTTTACCTGAAATCCATAGGTCTAACACAGTACCATAGAGCAGTGTTATATGACTTTTTTGAAAACAGAGTAAAAGTTCTTTCTAATTGTTGTTGTTCGAAGCAGCATATCTGTGAATGTCAGTGTGGAAGGAGCAGCAATCACCTGCCAGCATAATTTCTGAGGTTTAGAGACCCTTTTCAACAATCACCTTCCTCATGACACAAGACCACAAAAAGATAAGAGAAGAGAAGCTCAACAGGGCAGACCCTTTCTTCCCCTTAAATGCAGGCAGTTACCAAACACTTATTTTCCATCGGGTGCTTTTCCCTCAACTAGGAATAGAATAATAAGAATAAAGTGCGCCTTCAAGTCAGGCTTCTCAAACCATGCAAACAGCTCATTTAATATTGTCCTCATGACACAAGACCACAAAAAGATAAGAGAAGAGAAGCTCAACAGGGCAGACCCTTTCTTCCCCTTAAATGCAGGCAGTTACCAAACACTTATTTTCCATCGGGTGCTTTTCCCTCAACTAGGAATAGAATAATAAGAATAAAGTGCGCCTTCAAGTCAGGCTTCTCAAACCATGCAAACAGCTCATTTAATATTGCTTATATGTTTAAAAATTCCCCACCAACTCTGCCAGCATCATTTCTGAGGTTTAGAGACCCTTTTCAAAAGGCACCGTTCAGATTTACATATTAAAACTTGTATTTATAGGCTTCTGAGGAGCACTGAGCAGATCTACTCACAGGATCTGCAGTGTCTGGCCATTTTTCCATAGGTATTAAGGCAATAACCAGAGTACACATGACAGCTTGGTCACTGTGCTCATGGAGTTCTTGTGCCCAGGGAAATGCAATTCCAAAGGAGAAGATGCCCGAGGAACACGACAGCTTCTCTCAGTGGTGGTGATGTTGCAGTCAGGACACACACCACTACTAAAATATTTCTTGGTAAAGCCCAGTATCATGGGACAATGAACAACTATTTTGGCTGTGGAAGAAACCTGAATTTGGTTAGTAGCTGCCTTATTCATGGTCTAGGTATGTATCTCAGATGGAATATTATTCTCATTGTATACTTATAAACAAACAAAACACACTCAGATTTTAAATACAGAACCATTGCTGGTTTGACTCAACACACAACATTGGTTGAAAAGATTTTTGGCAAGGGATTTATATAAAGCCTCATTGAAACTGAATAATTTCCTCCAGTGGTCCCACCTGCCCCACTCTGCAGCAGAGCTTTCTGCCCATGTTCAGCCTTCTTGTGCACACTGATAATTGAAAACTACTTAAGAGAAACCCCCTGAAGGTGCTTCTTGAAAAATAAACACTTCAAAAGCATAACAAGGACTTTGCAAATGACTGTGCAGTAGTAAGTACAGAGTTTATGATTCCCCAAACTGTTCATTTAAGCTGGATTCATCGCTGATCAGCTCTTTGATGTCAATGAGGACCACCCTGTTTCTGACCTTCTCTGAACAGCCTATTGGGATTACACAGAGTCAGAAAAGACTAACGTATGACAACTGCCAAGAAAGGTAGAATTTTCTACCATTATAGTGTATTTTTACTGTGCCACACATAGAAACTGTAGAAAAGAGTGCAGGAGTTTCGCTGAAATGGTTCATAACATTTCCCATGGCTTTGTGTAATCTCCAATTCAAATCTGAACACCCACATCATTTTTCATTTCAAACACTCAACCCACCCACAAGAGGCAAATATTTGTACGGTTCTTTTATTGAGATTATGTCAATCTGGAAACAGATGGACAGACAACAAGAAGGAGAATTATATGCCAAGTTAATAGGAGCAACACATCCCACCAGTCATGTCCAAAAGGCAGTTTGCTACACACAGTGAGACACTGTCAGTTGGCCTGTCCAAGTGGAGGGCACGTCCAGAGTGTGCCTAGAGCATCTAAGCACTTGTTAGTGCTGTAGCACAAACAGGGTTGGAAGAGTTCACCAAACTGAGCCCCATACCATGAGCACCTGTGGATTTCTAGGGAAACATCACAGATAACACTGTGTAAAAAGGGCTGCTCTGGCAGTGGGTGTTAGAGGGGGATGCTCTGCTCGAGAATTTCTAACTGTTCTTCAAAAAACTTAATCTGCTCTTCTAGGTCCTTCTGTTCAATCAGCAAGGAGGTCTTGGCTTGAACAAAGTGCCGATAGTCCTGGAGCTGCTGCTCCGTCAGGTATTTGGCAAGGATTCCAGAGACCACACGTTCCCTGCGATCTAGATTCTCCTTCAGGTCCTTTGCATCTTCCCTCTGTCGAGACAAGAGCTTGTGCCGTTCGTTCAGCGATTGCTAATAGAATGAAAAAAACAGAGCAGCACACTATGAGAACTCATCATTCCTGCCAGGCTCTATTTCTTCATTTGGAAGCCACAGTTGATTTAATTTAATTACTTCCTCTTGTGGGCTTTGTGTTGCACTTGAGTTTTTTCTCGATTGAATTACTCATTCTTGTGGCTTTTAACGTAAAGACATGGTAAACCCCATCAAGGCTCCCTTCTTCCATGCTGCCCTCAGGAAAAAAAATAATCAATATACTTAACATTCCGGTAATTTTAAAGTATCCTGTAACCATCTGCATTCAATTAGGAGCTCTTTAAGGCACATATATTTGCACTTTGTGCATTGCATGTGGCCAGAATGCCAATGTCGTATCAAAAAGATAGAGTGGCTTCTATTAAAAGGTATGCGAGATAAAATAACTGTGATGAGGACAGTAACTGTTCATCAAAGGCTTCTTTTTAACCAACCCACAAGAGTCAGGTCTTGCCTGTTCTACAGGATTTAAATACCTTTTACATTTAGCTAATTCTCTTTCAGCTGTAATGATTCTCACACTGCTGGAAAACGTCCCATTTCAGGACAGTGTCCATAAATACAGCACAGAGCACTGGTCACCATCAACACCCTAAAAACAGAGTCCAAGATTGAGACTGCTGGTTTTGCTTACATCAGGGCAGATGCAGTGAGAGGGAGATGGTTGTAAAAGTGCTGGCACATAACCAAGTGTTTCTTGGGCATGTTATTCTAATGTTTTAATAAATCATTTGAATGTGTTGCCTGTGAAGAGTGTAAGTGTAACACCAGAGAAACAACACTCCCTCCGCCAACCTCAAAGCCAAAGTCAGAAACCTCAAAATTCATTAACATGACTGACATTTTGGAGGGGGTAGATCCTGACTCTCCATGTCACACTCCATGGCAGGAACCTTTTAGTGCTGTTCTGCATGTGAACTATGATAAATCTCCAGAGCTACAGGTCAGCAGCAGCACAGCTCCAGAAAATCCCAGTTTTTCTAACTCTGTGCTTTTCCAGTTTCCAAATGAAAGATAACAGCATGCATTGTGTTGATAAAAATATGTCAAAAGCACTAAAGGCAGCAGGGGAGCATCATTCCTGGGATAAATTTGGCTTGTATTCTCCAGCAAAAAGGGGACTTTCCAGACTTGACATTTCAGGTAACATGAGACAGTTCCTCCTTTTCCAGCAAAGCTGGCTAGTTGAGTTATATTACAGGGAATTTTATCTCAAGGTATGGCCACATCCTCTCACTAGGACAAGCCCATTAGGTGAAATATGATTTCAAAGGCAGTAATTACTGCAATGAAATTACCAGTGGAGAAAAATAGGCCCACAAAAAGCCCTGTGAAGCAGGTTTGGAGCTACTCCTGAGGGAACAGCCTGAGGGTCCAAAGGCCACCCCTCTGGCTCAGACCCTTGCAGGGTTTAGCTGCTGCCCCCCAGCTGCAGAGCTCACTCTGCACTCCTGTGTTCCAGTACTGAACCCTGGTCCACAGCAGAGACCTGCTCCTGTGTCCCTGAGGCACAGCTCATCACATGGCATAAACACTGCCTGGGCAATGGCTGGTTGGGATAATTTACAACTAATGAGCTAAACAAGCTGTCAGATGAATGAGGTGAGCACAGCCCCACCTGGAAAGGAGTGAACCAAACAAACACCTTACTTGCTTGTCACTCACCTTCTCCTCAGCATCTGTGTTGCCATCAATCCTCCTCATGGCATTCTGGACTCGTTCGAGGCGGCTGGACAAGCACAGCAAGAGGCTCACAACCTTCTCCAGGTCCCCAATGAACATCATGTAACGCTCAAACTCATTGGGTTTGCAGACATCATGCACTATGGCCTGCAGCTCCTCACCCTTCTTGGCACATTCCTTGGCTTCTGAGAGGACAAGCTCCCGTTCCTCCCCCAGTGTCTGCAGCTTGGACCGGAGGCTGGCGATGAGTTCCAGCTGCAAAGGGGAAAAAAAAAATCACAGAAAGCTGTTATTGCCAAAGAGAATCCATATCAGTTCTAAAGAATGGATTTTCTTCACATTCTCTTTCCCAAATTTTGGACTTCTAAAATAATTTTAGGCTCCAGGAAAGAGAAAGGAAAAAAATTACAGTATATTCTAAGCTGTACTTAATTCTCAAACTCTGAAAAGCAAATTACTGTTAATCACCTTAACTGGTGATATAATCCCTAGCTCAGAGAGCTTCCAATCAGTCAGAAGGGAACTGCAATAACGGTTACAACATGATTACACAGAGTTATGCTCTAAGATATGGGCATGAAGTCACAGCTATGTGCCAAGCTTTGGGAGAACTAACTGGAGTTTGTTTTTCATATGCATAGAAAAAATCAGGTCCATGGGTGATTCAAGCAGGCCACAGTGCCTGGATATCAAAGCAAGCAGGGGAGGCTGTTTGATACAAGAATCATGATATGGACAAAGGCCTCAAGACCAGAGTGGGAGAAGAACACCTTCAGCTTCTTTGGAAGTTGGACAATGAACAAGGGCAGCAGTCAGACAGCAGGGAATGAAGAACATGCCCACATACACAGAAGCTTCTGAAAGGCAGATTGTCATTACCTGAGATAGAGTATGGCCAGGTTTGTAGAGGGAAAAAGGCCTATCTAACTCTGTGAAGCTACATAATTGCCTTTCCAAATTCCCTGCTTCTATCACAGTTCAGCTATGTCCAGGCTAGCCCTGGACTTAGGGGTATGTATGGAATTAATAGGGCACTGGAATGTGCAGAAACTGCTGCCAGTTCTCAGAGTAAAAAGCATTTCTTATTTAGGCTGACAGTTGTAATTAATTTTGCAGATTTTGATACTAGATTTGAGTGTTAAATTTGGAGTCAGCTGCTGCACAGGAGCTGGCTGTGCAAGGAAACCTCTACCCAACCCTGCATGCTTGTTCCAGGCACATCCACCCCCAATCACCTGCTGGAGACAAGTACATGGGATGAGAGATCTGAATCCAACCAGGCAGGAGTTAAATACCACTATTATTATCAACAAGCCAATTTGCCAGGACTTCACCTACTGGCAAAAATTGATACGAAGTTACCTGTGAAACATTATTGGGATAAAAATATCCCTAGTAAAAATGACATTAATAATAATTTCTTTGTCTTGATGGACAAACAGCAGTTCCTCTGATGGTCATCTACATACTTTCTTAGATGTGATGTCATCTAGGTCATTTTTGCTCTCTCTGCTCCTGTTCAGGTCTTGGTTTCCCTTAGAAGTAGGATCTTCACTCGGTTGCTTGGCTTCATGTTCAGGGTCAGGACATTCTTCTGGTGCTCCTCCATGGCTTTTCCTGCTATTGGAACAGAAAATAAATACCCATGGCAAACACTGCAAGTTTTGTTCAGGGCTTCATCTATCTTGCTTCAGGATCAGTCTCCTCTCTTCTCATAACAACAATGTTTCTAATTTTGTATATAAGATTTACAGCAAAAGATTTGCAGCCTAGTTTTTTCACAGTCCCTTTAATTAGGCATCATTGAATCAGATTTCTTCCATCATATACTCATAGCCTCAGATATTTCTTGATATATAAATCAGAAAGCTAAAATAGTTTGCTAATGGAACAAAAATAAAACATTGTGGCCAACTTCATCATACTAACTATATAGATATATAATATTCCTGCGCAAAAATAGCTTAAAATACTAGATAGTTGGTTTTATCTACTTACTCATTCTCCTGCACGTGCTGTATGTCTCCCTTTTTCCTGTGTGATTTTTCCAGCATGGAAATACTAACAGGAAACAAACTCTCCATCAGGTCCAAAGCAGTTTTTCTAAGAGGATGAGGCATGAGAATGTCCACCAGAGAACTGTCTTTGGCAATGATCTCCATAGCAAGTTCTTGGTATCGCTGGTCTTGAGCATACTGCAGCCTCCTTTTGGTCAGGTGTGTCTCTCTCTCCAGGGGAACATCATCTTGGCTACTGGGCATGGAAGTTTCCTGTGCAGTTAAACCTTTGGCTGGATTTTTGTCTCCTTGGTGAGGTTGAGCCAATGCTGTGTGGTGGTGTGTTCTCTGCTCTGGAGAAGCTGCAGGATGCTGCTCTGGACACTTTAGTACAGCAGTGCCCCTCAGAGACTGAGTTCTGCATTCCTCCTCCACTCGAGCACCTTCCTTGCTTCCACATTTTGAGATAGGAATAGAGGTCTCAGGAGTCAGCTCCGTATTATCCTGACAACATGCATGTCCCATGATGTCATGTTCATGATTCTCGTGTCCATCTTTCTCAGGATCATGGAAACTATAAGAAAGAAGACAGTTCCTTTTATTTGAGATACTTTCTCTGCAATAGATACTTTTGCAGACTCTTTAAGAGCTATGATCAAATGTTTCTGATATTACTGTTCTATCCAGAACTTTCAGTTACTTTCATGCTGACCTGCTAAACTAGGAAATGTAAGAAAAACTCCTAAGTATTGCTAAAAACACAAATTCTTTTCCCAAGGCTCCAGAAACCATTGGGATATTTCTGAATAACTGAAACAGTGGAAATTCTTTTACTACACAAGAGTCAGCATCACTGCCTCGCAGAGACAGAGTTCAGATGATTTTCTTCCCTGATGCTCCTCAAACCAGCAAAGCAAATACAGAGAGTTAAAACACAAACTTCCTAGTAAGTGATGTGCAAACGACACGGTATTGTTTTTCCTCTAAAAAAACACACCGAAAGCTCTCATTACACCACTCTGATCACACATATTTTCCAGGACCGGGGACATCCGAGCTGCTGCAGATGCTGTTTTCTCCGGGGCTCGGATGAGGGAGCTGCGATCCCAGGAATGTGCCGGAGCGCGGCTGAGCTGGGACAGCTCAGGGACAGCTGCTCGGGGACACTCCGCACTCCCCACTTCGGCTTCGCACGGTAGAAATTATGTTAAAGACTTTTCTAAATAGTGTCGCGGGTGAATATTCCCGTACGGACAATGAAGGATGCTGAGACAGGAGGTCACACCCCTGGGACATCTATACCCAGGCACAGCCTTACCTGGGGGTGCCGAGGCAGCTCCCACAACGCCCGGACGGTGCTGCTGCACCACTGGCACATCTGCACGTGTCCTGGAAGCGAAAACAGCACACTGGGACAACCAGCACTTCAGACAAGGCAGCTGTTTACTTTTACTCCCAAGTTTGTTATCTCCGAGGCTTATGCGTTTTTGGGGTTTGTGTTGGTTTTATTTGTCTGTCTCTGTTTTATTAATTAAATAGCTATTATCTTCTTCCTAAGTAGCATCCATCTATGTTTTTTTCTCCTAGAACAGCTGGTGACAAATTACACCCCTACTCTTGTAAGAATTCAGAGATTCAACATTGGTGGAAGCTGTTTTAGTGGTAGATTAGATTATTTATTTTCTGACCCTTTTATCCCCTTTATCCTCCTTGACAGTATTGACAACTACTGTTCTTCAAATTCAGGAGCCTAAAAGGCTCCATTTATATGAATCTCTCTATAATCACCTTTTCTGGGGTAGGGCTCTAGTGGAGTTGCTGTCATTTAATAGTGACTGCTGGAGCACAAATAGCCTCATCCTGTGTGCAGCACATGTTCCCTGCAAATGCATCTTCTGAGTGTGCAGCCCTCTACAGCTCTGGAAAGGACCCTCAGAGCCCAGCAGTGTCCAGCCCTCCAGCAGAGCCTGTGGCACTCACACATGTGTCCCTTGAAGCAGACTCTCCTCATCCTTTCTGCCTTTATCTCTGGCCTTGCTGAATGAGAAATGGCCCTTTCCAGACTGAGTGCCCATTGCAGTCAGCTGTTACAAAGTTTTCATCCTTATGGCATTCACTTGAACTTTTCACACCAAAGGGCACTTTGTTTGCCTTCAATACTTTCTTACAAAACACTTCCATGAACAATGAATTGTTACATCAATCATAAATTCACATGTTAATGTTGGTAGTGCTTCTCAGAATCCTCCCAAATTTCTCCTGTGTGCTGCAAAGCAGAGCATGTATTTTGCTTTTTAACAGCCACATAGCAATTCCTAGAGATTAAGCAAATATGTCTTCTCCTCTGCATCTATCATCTCTGTATTACATGAAAAAAAAAAAAAAAGAAAATCTAATCTTAATTCCTTGTTCACGA